CAATTGTTAGTTCTCATGCACTTTTTTAAAGGGATCCCTAAACTTGATGCGATCCCCTTAAACGATGCTAATGATGACATGTGAGCAAAGCCCGATCAACAATAATATCCATTTAGTTAAGTGATGCCAGAGGTAATAATAAAAGTGTATTGTGTCAGTACCACCTCAATTAGTAAACAGTTAAAGCTGATATTAGTTTGAGAAAAAAACAATTATGTTTTTTTTTTTTTTTTGCATACAAATGTTTATGTGGGTAGTGAAAGAAAAAATTTGTTATTTAATTTGCTCTTCACCTTGTACACGCCAATTGCATAAGTTCTCACCGTCTCTTACACCATCAGGTGTACCTCATAATTATATATTATGTTCATAATTAATTTATCAGCTTAATCTAAATTGTAGTCAAGGCACTAAAACAATTTATTTTTAGATCTTTTGTACCGATTAATTGGGTTATTACCTTTTAGGCCATTGTCTATTACAAAGCTTACCTTTTTCTCTCTAGTGACTTTACGTGAATTAATATGACTCGAATCAAACCAAACCTTTTTTAGTTCTCAAGGTGAATGTTTTTCATGTTGAAATCACAAAAATCACTGGTACGTTCAAAATTAATCATGCTTTTATCTGAGAGTTGATAAAATTCGATTGACCAAACAATACATTATTACGAACGACGTAATACATTTCGAGTTTTTACTGCACGAAATCGCTCCGTTTTCCGCCCGTATATTTATGCAATAAAAGTAAGCTTAAAGTTGAAGTTTAGCTCGTTCATCATTTCTCAATAAATTGAGTGCAAATGATTTTGCAAAAAGGTTCCATTGATACAGGCAAGAATTCAACACCATGTAAATAGCTTAGTTACCGAAACCCTCTTCGGCGCGTCATACGCAACTCGCAGATAATGACTCAGTATTAAAATCAATAACGCCACCTGCATGAGAATAATATGGCCAGCCTATAGCAAAAATCTCGTTCGATAACGGGCGTCCCATCATGTTATATAACATACAATCTGATGGCACGTGGAATATAACGAACGTAATATTAAAAAAGAGAGAGAGACGGAGATAAAACCTGTGCAAAAGGGATGTACTGTATTCCGGCGTCTCTATACTTTCAATGGAAGATTTGACTCGCACTTCCATGTTAAAAGTTGTTTGTTCTTTTAAAGGAAACAAGTAGATAAAATAATTGATTTCATAAAAGTTACTATGAAATTAAATTATGCGTTGTATTTTGTAACCTCATTAAAATGCGTCTTCGTTAAAATGAAGGTTTTAAAATTATAATTTACACTTGTAGACATAACGTCTTTTAAATTCACAATTTTCTTAATAAACATGATTCACATCATTAATATAAATTGAAAAATTACATAGGTAAGGTGTAAGTTTACAAATACGGAAAAATGAGAAAAAAATGTTCAAAAAAAAATTTTTTTCTTTCATAGTGTGGTATTTTATTAAATAATAAAACATAAAAATATTTATAAGTAGTTATAAATATTATCCTAGTATTTCATGCTTTGAAGTTTGTCAATCGCTTTATCTTTAAATTCACGAGATCCATTTCCATATACCGAGTGCAATCAGAATAACCGAACTGTACAATACAATATCGAAAAGTTTTATTCAATCCTTGAGTAGGTGCTTGTTCCAATACGAAATTATTAACATCCAGCCATATCACAATCTTCTAGTCAGCTCTTTTAGTTCTTGTTTTACCGATTCGTTCGTAGTATATTCCAGAGCTCGTTTCAAATGATTATATGCTATAGTTGCCATGATTAGCATAGTTTAAATCTGCGCAACTTTCAAGCCCTATATCGCACAAAGTGTCTTTAAAATTACGTGTATAGTAAAATTTCAAAGTAAAATAGTATACTATAATCAGCCAAATGTTACAAAGATTAAAAAAAAGAATTAGTAGGTCAAGTTTGTTTTTTGAATGTGGGGATTAGAGGAGTTGAAAGCTTAGCACATATCTATATTATTAAAATTTTTCAGTTTTCTGAAGCTTTTGGATGTGTATCTTCTTCATAAAAAATGTAAAGTCCATCTATAGAGAAAATAATACGGTAATTCATTTTAGATTTTGCCAAAGTTTTGTTCGTTATCTATGGGATGTAAGTATTTTAAGAGTATGAGTAGAGGATAAAACTTTCGCAACAATCAAGATGTTTTTATTTTTAATTTAACAAAAGACAATAGTCATTTTTTATCAACATTGTATCATCTTCGTTCAACATACAAATTGCGTTTTAAATCTGCCGTATCGAGTAGAAAATACCGAGCGAAAATTGGATTCCCAACTACTCTTCCTATTAGCTGGTAATGGATAAAAATTAGACGATTTCTTTTGTCCCTCATTCGATTCGATTTACAAGTAATTTACGCTCAACATAATTAGGTCGAAATCGAGTGTGTTAGTCACCTTTCCGAACAATAATGACTATATAATTGCGGAAATCCTGTCGCTGCGCGTATTTCCTACCGCATTTCTCCTCCTCCTCTCACCTACGTGTATACTAATAATGGCCCATCTATGCAAATATTCGTTGCATTCAAATTTGCAACGCGCATATGCGATTTATCATCAGGTGGAACGCCGCTGATTCACAGTGCGCCTGTCCATGTTGTGCGCATCGAAAGAACGCGTATTGTTGATTTCGAATATCAAATTGAATGTTATTTTCAGGTTTTCAATGTTTCAAGATATTACTCCCGGTATCTTATTAGCATCAATTGTGTGATAACTTCCCTCACTAATCAGAGTCAAGTTGTATGGAGATTGTCTATAATTAAGTAGTTATCAAACAATTATGACAATATTCAAAGACGATAGTCATTATGTTTAATCACTTTTAACCTTAATCTTAAGTGTGGAAATTTTTTTCTACTTAAGGCATTTTTGTAATCTTTGAATTTTTGCTGCTATTTTGGTAGAGAAAATACAGTGTGCATCTAGTCAGGGCAAGCACAAGGGGTTAATGGTATATTATACCAAGTGGATGACAGATGTCCGTCCGAGCGGCAGACGGTGCATGGTTCCACGCCCTTATATATGTGTCCTAACTCGCTTTTTTTTCTAAATTTAAAATGATAAATTATGCATTGCTACAATCGTAATTTTTTGAAGTTGGGTATCAAAAAATGTTGAACTACAATTTCTATAAAAAAAAATTTAAACGGGTAAGCCTTTTAAGATGATTTTATAAAATAACTAATATTGATATAAATGATATGCTCATTCTCCAGTTTTTCTCTCGACCAAATTATGAAAAAAAAAATCTATCGACAATTTTTATTTTACTCTGGATATTCGATAAATCGATTCTTGAAATTAGGAATCAATATTGTTGTTTTGTAGGAATTGAGAAAAAAACAATTATGTTTTTTTTTTTTTTTTGCATACAAATGTTTATGTGGGTAGTGAAAGAAAAAATTTGTTATTTAATTTGCTCTTCACCTTGTACACGCCAATTGCATAAGTTCTCACCGTCTCTTACACCATCAGGTGTACCTCATAATTATATATTATGTTCATAATTAATTTATCAGCTTAATCTAAATTGTAGTCAAGGCACTAAAACAATTTATTTTTAGATCTTTTGTACCGATTAATTGGGTTATTACCTTTTAGGCCATTGTCTATTACAAAGCTTACCTTTTTCTCTCTAGTGACTTTACGTGAATTAATATGACTCGAATCAAACCAAACCTTTTTTAGTTCTCAAGGTGAATGTTTTTCATGTTGAAATCACAAAAATCACTGGTACGTTCAAAATTAATCATGCTTTTATCTGAGAGTTGATAAAATTCGATTGACCAAACAATACATTATTACGAACGACGTAATACATTTCGAGTTTTTACTGCACGAAATCGCTCCGTTTTCCGCCCGTATATTTATGCAATAAAAGTAAGCTTAAAGTTGAAGTTTAGCTCGTTCATCATTTCTCAATAAATTGAGTGCAAATGATTTTGCAAAAAGGTTCCATTGATACAGGCAAGAATTCAACACCATGTAAATAGCTTAGTTACCGAAACCCTCTTCGGCGCGTCATACGCAACTCGCAGATAATGACTCAGTATTAAAATCAATAACGCCACCTGCATGAGAATAATATGGCCAGCCTATAGCAAAAATCTCGTTCGATANTATACGTGAGTAGTTGCGTTCCGTATTATGTACTTAAAAAAGTATGAATTTGAAGCTTGTAACTTTCAACGTTTCTTCATTGTAACGGCAACAATGTCAGTATGAGTACCAACATTAAATATTGTTTTTAATTAAAGTTCATACATTTATTTTTCGATCAATCATACAAAAAACAAAAATTGCAATTTTATGAAAACAGTGACTTAGATTATTAAATACTTTAATCGTAATTAAAACTGATGGCGTTACGTATTTAATAATTTCACGTTGAAACACTGAAGTCAAGGAGGCATTCTTTTTTTGCTGATTATACTAAATTACGGTGTCGAGCCTTATATTTTGTCAGTCAGATCTAAAAAAAGAAAAAACTGTCGAGTAATAATTTAAGAAAAATGGAAAGCTCAAAAAAGTGTAGTTCGTCACAAGTTACGAATTATTGGCGCAACGGGAATCAGGTTGTAGTTCGTGAAGCTACTATTCGCCTATTAGATTGCATTATTTCCTTTAAAGCGAGCTATATACTAAGTTACCGATAATGGGTGCGCAGCTAGCAATTTGTTTGAGCGTAATTTTTTACGAATTTCTCTGATAAGATAGTGTTTTATATCATTACAATTAGTTACTATCAATTTCATACTATCAAAAATAACATTTGATACATTTTAAAGCGGGGAAAGTAGTTTTTTTTTAACAGACGTCATTTTTATTTTTAACAGAATGTTTTTTGACACTCATTTACGGAACAAAAATTTTTGTTACTCATTTTCAATGATATAAAAAATTTACTATACAACATAATACATAACATTTACGACATGTTTTTATGTTTCTAGACGGTATCCATTTCCATGCTGCTGCGCTACTCCCACCATCAGATCTTCGTATTTATTGGTGAGTGAAATTAATGTAAAGTAAAAATAAATTTTTTTATCATTACTAATAGAATATCAGTTTAAAAGTATCAAGTAAAAACACAAATAGCACAATCAGCAGTTGCAGGTTGGTTATTTTATTTAAAAATAGAGTACTATCTGAATCCACTTTGATAAATACGATTAAAATAAAAAACCCCCAAAACTCCAGACAGATGAATGACCTTTGATTCAAGTCTAAAATTAGGTCGCTGACAGGCGGGTCGACAGTTTAGAAAGTCTGGTCTTATCGTCTCGATGTTGAGGCATACCAAAACCTATTTAGTAGAGTGTTTTTTCTGTAAAAAAAAAAAAAAAGTCCAAGATCAATGACCCTCCTTTTTAACGCTTTTTCTTTTTTATTTCTTTTCATTTCTAATTAAAATTGCTCTTTTCCAGTAAACAACTTTTTCCTGATATACTTTTTGTCGAAAATTCAAACTTAGTATCAGTTACGTAACATTGAATAAAAATATTACAGGTGTGTAGGTGATAAACAAAAAATGTTCCTCAATTAAAAGTCATGAAATCATGATTAGAAGTGAAAATTGGTGCCATTGACCCTCGGTTCGTAGAATCTCTCGAGCTGCCACACTTCGTAACATGTTTACCGATGACTTACGCATGAGATTGTTAGATAAGAATGAGCAGAAAAAATGCGACCCACATATCTCTCACCCATCGCTCAGGGTCATCGTACGTGAGTAAAAATTCCTACGTACCGTGCACGCGTTCATTGTCAAGTAGCATATGGTCTACGCCAATGTGTGTACATATAGGAGAGGGAGAGTGCTCGCGTACGCGTGTCAGGAAAAAGTGTCGTAAGCACCTACAATAACGCTCGTGCTTTTGTACCCGGAGAAGACACCGCCGCAGTATTCGCTCGCCGACGCGTTCGCTAACACGCTGTTGTCAATCCAGTCCATTTTTTTTTTTTTTTTTCGTAAATATGCGCAACTAGACTCGGCAATATTTTGCTCCGTCAATGTTAATCCACCAAGACTCTCTGCTCGAGGCGTAACTAAAGTACAAACCATGGCGCTGTTGAATTTGTTGTTGCTGGTGTTCGTGGGGTGCGTGCTTTTTTTGATTCACCTGCTGATTCGGCAGCACACGTATTGGAAGAGTCGAAAACTCCTCCACGTGGGTTTTCCACCCATCATAAACATGAACACAGCTCTGTTCTTCCGACAGAGATCCTTCCCGGAGCACTCCAAGTTCTTGCACAGCCTCCACCCGAACGCCAAGTATTACGGCACCTTTGATTTCAACACACCTGCCATCGTGGTCAAGGATCCTGAACTGATTCGCGACATTTTCATCAAGAACTTTGAGTACTTTCCCGATCACCGGAGCTTCGTTACCGAAGAGATGGACCCCATCGTGGGTCGCAACGTTTTTTCCCTCAAGGGCCAACGCTGGAAGGACGTGAGGAGCACCTTGAGTCCCAGTTTCACGGCCAACAAGATGAAATTCATGTTCCAGTTGGTTTCTGAGTGCTCGAGAGAGTTTGTGCAGTACTTCGTGAATAATCCCGACTCGGCGAAAAACGTAGAAGCCAAGGACGCGTTCACCAGGTACACTAATGACGTGATAGCAACCGCTGCGTTTGGGATCCAAGTTAATTCGATGAGAGATCGCGAGAACGAGTTTTACGTTTACGGCAAGGATGCCACTTCGTTCGGGACAGTTTGCAGGTTGATCAAGTTCATGCTGTTCCGGGCGTTTCCGAACGTCATGCGAATGTCTGGTGAGAAGTTCTTGTCAAGGTCGACCGATAGATTCTTCAAGCAACTGGTGACCAACACGGTTAAAACGAGAGAGGAGAAGGGTATCGTGAGACCGGACATGATTCACTTGTTGATGCAAGCCAAGGACAAGAAAGATGGCATCGAGTTCACCATAGACGACATCATCGGCCAAGCGTTTATTTTCTTTTTGGCTGGATTTGACGTGTCGTCGACTCTCATGTGCTTCGTTGCTTACGAGTTGGCTGCGCATCCAGAAATACAAGAAAGAGTGCAGGAAGACATCGACAAACAGTTGGAGCAAGAGAACGGACTATTGACTTACGAGTCCTTGGGGCGGATCAAGTATTTGGATATGGTTATCAACGAGACCTTAAGAAAGTATCCACCGACACCGATGACGGACAGGGTTTGTGCCAAAGAGTTTGTTATTCCATCGTCCATGGATGGATATCCGGAGTATAAAGTGGAAGTGGGGACCAACATTATTATGCCGATATACGGACTTCATCACGATCCGAGGTTCTTTCCTGACCCGGAAAAATTTATACCCGAGCGGTTTGACGATGAAAACAAAAACAACATCAATCCGTACGTGTACGTACCTTTCGGCCTTGGTCCGAGAAAGTGCATTGGGAATCGATTTGCGCTCATGGAGACGAAGATTTTGATTGTGCATATTTTGAAAAAGTTCAATATCAAGTTTACAAGCAAATCAAAGTATCCTATTGTTTTTTGTAAAAAAACGTTCAATTTGAATATTGAAGGTGGTTTTTGGCTTGGACTCGAAGAAAGAAAAATAACTAATTGAGACGTCATGGTGACAATCGCTATTTTTGATATTACTTTACAGTTGTTGTATTCCTATGTATTTACTTCTTGAAAATTATTTTTCTTATTAGTACTTGTAAAAATAGTATTTGTTAATATTTATTTTATTCAATAAATATTTTTCATGATTTATTTGTAATAATCTAGCATTGCTGTAAAAAATAATTTATATGTACAATGCAGCATAATATATACAGATAACATTACATGTCTAGAGGCCAAATAAGACGTATCACGTTTAAATTAGGTATCTTTTTAGTAAAAATTATACGTCTTACTGAAGATAAAAAGAATATTGTAAAAGTATGTCAGTAAAGATAACAATAATTTATATAATTGGTTTTGATTATATAATCGATAGTCATTTTTAGTAAGAAACTTGTTTATTTGACTGTAAATTGATATTTTTCTAAAATCTTATCAATTAATACTGAATGAAAACAACAATATCAGTAAAAATAAGTAATAAAATCTTATTAAAATTAAAAATGTTATCGCTTATTTAGGCTATAAATAATAATAATATATAACTAATGATAAACAATGAAATAAATAAATGTAAATAAAAATAGTCCATGTATGAGAATCCAACAAAAGAGGTACGGACTTGAAATCTATAGTTGCTTATCTCAACGCACCAGTTACAAAGTATTTTTAAGTAAGTCATTATTAAAAAAAAATACAATATCGTAAAAATTCTTTGAGATAGTAGTTAAAATGTTAAATTTATTTATCTGTCATACGCACTTGCTTCAATATCTAATCGCGTGCAAAACAGTAAGTGATTATGCATTACAAAAAAAACGTGACTAATGCTTGCTAATGTTTATTTTCATGGCCCTTCAAAACTTTTTACTTATGTCAACAAACTTAACAGTCAAAGCAATCACTAATTTTAAAAAACCTTAAGATTTGCCGAAAGGTTTTTTTAACCCTCTTCTACCTTTTTTCAAAGTTATTAACAACGATGTATTTTTTTCGCGCCCGTCGAAAATTAATCCAGTAGACAACGAAAATTCAACGCATGACGAAGAAGGGGAAAAAGTAAAAGAGCTTGCGAGGGCATAGTAAAAGAGGGACGTGAGGATAAAGCTGAGTAGTAGCAGCAGTAGGGCCAGTATGTTTTTCCAGGATAATTGTTTGGAATACAAATTAACATAAAAAAACAGTGCATAATCAGTCGGTTTAATAGGCTTCTTTGAATTTTTGGCGTTTGGCCTTGTGAAACTTTTATCACTAACGAAGATAAACAGCTTTCTTTTTCTTTCTTTGCTATCACAGTTTTGCCAAACTACTCGCATAAAATGCGGATATGGGTTGCTTAATATGCACTATCAAATTAAATTGAATAGAAATAGTCTGCTTACAATGTAAAAATATTGTTTATTCAGACAAGTTAAAAGTAGTATAAAAAAAATTTTATGAAACTAATTTAATTAAGTAGATAAATTTGTAGAAAAATTAATACACTTACTGATACACTTACCAGCAGAGCAAAAAGTTTTATTGTAACGTAATTTATTGCTTGTATTCAAAAGTTGTATTTTTCTATGAGCTTGAAAAATTTTACAATCAACCTATTTTATTCTTCTAAATGTTCATTGAAATACTAAACCGCTGTAAAATGATTTGTTGATCGATTTTTATTGTTTATCAATTTCATGATCTTATTTTAGAAAAAATGTACGACGGATACAATTTTTTCAAGAGCTACAATTTTTATACTTAAAAACGTTTTGTCCTAATGAGTCACGTAACGACGGCCGATGTTGTAAAACGAGTTTTTAATGAACTCAAAACAATTTTAAGAAGTATCTGGATGAAATCATTTGAAAAATGTTTTGTAAACAAAAATTAGGTTTAAGATTATTTTTTACCTTTATTTAAGTGGATTCAGTACATCGGCCGGAGTTTCTACTTGACCAACTTTACTATCTTGAGAAATTATAATTAATAACTAATTATCTAGCTGTTAAAACACAAAATAAGGAGAAGACCTAATTCCCCAAGCTGGCACTTTGAGGAATCAGTCGAGCCCAAATTCAATGCAATCCGTTGCAAATTGAGAGAGAAAAGTTACATTTTCTGATCATCAAAGAGTGTGACAGTGTGCATAATCTGAAATGTAACTTTATAATATACAGTAAAATATACAGTTCAAATTATGAACTTACTCAACATATGCAGATTTATAGGTTATGTTATGCCGTTTACGACAAATATCAACTTTTTAAAACTCAACAACTGTAAAACTACGAGAAGAGCCGTGTTTACCTTTTTATTTTAGATGCCCAGTTCAAATTTTAGATAATTCAATGCATTACTTTTTGAAAAAAATTATATTTCAGATTATGCACACTGACACTCACTTTCATCAGCAGGAAATGTAATTTTTCTCTCTCAATTTGCAACTGATTGCATTAAATTTGGGCTCGATTGATTCCTCAAAGTGCCAGCTTGGGGAATTGGGTTATTGGGGGCTCTTCTCCTTACTTTGCATTCAAACAGTTAGATAACTAGTTATTAACCATAATTTCTCCAGGGACGTAGCCAGCTTTTATTTTTGTATGGGCCATGGGTGGGCCATTGTATATATATATGCGTGCGCGTCCACGCGCGGGCGTGAGTGGGTGCATGCATGTGTAGGTGATTCCATAAAAAATTACTCAGATCGTGTCTTGAGCTCTTACACACGAATTTATATCGTATGTTAATTTGAATGAATTGAATAAGAAAATAAAGCTTTATTAAGTCCTTAAAGGCTTTTATTGATCCCGTATGTTAATTTATTAGCAGTCAGCAGTAGTTTGGAGCAAATTTATGATTTACTTGTCGGTGACTTGAAGGTGAGACGCATCTGATTTGCGTTGCTTGTAATTAGAGCGTATAGAGTAAAGTCAAAATGTACAAGTTCATGAACTAGGAATATTACTTACTTGTATACATATACAAAGTTTCTATTTACAGTTGATTGAATTCTACTAGTTCAACTATAATAACAAAAGTAAAGATATGTTAAGATTAGCGACCCCCCTAGAATACTTACTTCATAGAATAACTACTGTTCTAAGAAGGTTAATAAGCTTTGTGCGAATAACAACTACTCTGCGTAGTGGTTTTTCTCTCATCACTTATACGTATAAGTATAGATTCTATTTTACCTTGTTATCTTGTGAAGTAGCTTTATAAACTATTATGATTCAATAGTCAGTCAACGCGTTGCTAGCGGAATGAAAAGAACACTGAAAGATTTTGGGTATGGACCCTCGGCAAAAGTGAACAAATCCAGCTCTAACGAAAGAAAAAGTGAGACTGTTAATGAAGAAAGCGCGCAATACAGTAAAAGTGAAGTCGATGAAGATGATTTTCTTGTTTCCAGTAAGTAAAAAATTAAATTTATAGCAATTGAAAATCAGTACTATTAGGTTTTGACTTAATAGAATAAAGTATCTGCAAGATTGGCAGCTTATTTTTAATTTTCGATTATTTTTGTCAGGTTTACAAAATACTAGTGATAATAACTTGGATTACGACGAACTGCTTAGCGAACCTGATTCCGAAGTTGACGTCGATGATCACGGACAACATGAGTGGAATGTCAGTGAAAATATTGACACAGTAATAGTTTCAAGTCAGTTAAGAAATGATCGATCTACACCAACAACTCTACCTGCAGCTCAAGGTCCATCAGATCTTTCTCAATCAACAGAAGAAGGGCCTAAACAGCCAGTGTTGAAATTATTCCCGAAAACTATTTATGGCAAAAGAGCGCGTTCTTTTTATTCTTAATGGTACAAAACGTACCCATGGCTTGAATGCAGCGTTGTTGCTGATGCTGCCTTTTGCTTCAATTGTAGATTTTTTGGTATGAACCTTACAGAGAAAACTTTCGTCGAAAGTGGATTTAAAAATTGGAAAAGAGCTTCAGAAAAAAATTTTGGATTTCGTCAACACGAGATACTTCAATAAGATGCTTGATGATAGCTTGAGTAATTTAGCAATCATGTTTATTGAGAGAAAAATTGTCAAAGCTCTTGATTTGGACAAAGTGGTAGATCGTTTTGCACCATTAAATAAAGGGCACCGTATAATTTTGTACTAATTTGATGTTAAATATATATTGATTTGCACAACTATTTAGAAAATTTATTTCTTTTTTCCTTATGCATATTATGTTTGAAAATTCCATTTTTGGTTGCTCCTGATGGATTTGATATTCAGGATAGGCCAGCGCATGGGCCAGAAATTTTAATGCATGGGCCGTGGCCCACCCAGGCCCACCCGTAGCTACGTCCCTGAATTTCTCACAATAGAGAATTTGGTTAAGTAAAAACTCCGGTCGATGTACTGAGTCCCCTTATAGAAAGGTGTATTTTTGAAAATACATACATTTGCGTTTACCACTTACTCGTAGAATTTAAATTTCCTATTATAATGGAGTTATTTTGAAATATTTTGCTATTGGATTTTTTTTTGTGACTTTCTAGAAAAATGCATGATAAACAAAAGTTACGTCTCAATTAGATGTACAATTTTATGCTGAAGCACATTTTCAACTGCCTACAAATCAACTATCACGTAGTTAATTATACTTTTAAAATACGATAGACCGTTGAAATTTGTGTAATGATGATAACTTTTCCACGCCCTTCGATTCACGGTTCAAGTACGGTTCCACTTTTTATTCTAGTAAGTTGTGTTAACATACACTTGGTAACTTAAATAAAGGTGTACAGCAGCGAAGCCTAAAAACTGAAGAATTTTAATATAATTTTAGTTCATCGGCCATCTAGATTCCTTGGGACTAACGATCCCCTACTCTTCTGCCACTACAAGTAAAGCCGTGAAATTAAAAAGTCTGTCCGCAAGAAGTGGACGAACGAGTTTTGATTATAAAACGGCGAACTGTAGCGTAATGTCGATCATCAAACTTTTCGCTCCAGATTGTAACTTCCGAGATTGTTTATATATTAAGCTCAAAGTCTCTCAGCTTAGTGGAAAACTTATTTTTTCTGACTTAAGTGTCCGATGCGCAATAAATATTGAAAGCTGCCGACGCGCACTAAAGTGGCTGAGTTGCATTCCACTAATCCTTCGT